TTCAGAGGTCTCACAGGTGGTACCCACTGGATCTCAGGGAACCAAGTGATGCTCTACAGAGTACTTGGTTGCTGTATGCAAGATGAGTGAGTCAACCCCTGTTCTCTCTCCAGCCCCCTACTGTCAACAGTATGTAGAAAACTCGTGAGCTCAAAGGCATACAGATCCTCTTGTGTCTATAGAGTACAATAGTTATTATTTTAAGCTAAAAGAAGCTAGATTAGAAAAGTTATAAATTTTTGGTAGTTTATCCTTGTATATGGGCTGGAGCGATAGCACAGCGGGTAGGGCGTTCGCCTTACAAGCGGCCAACATGGCCGACCCGAGTTCGATTCCTCCGCCCCTCTCGGAGAGCCCGGCAAGCTACCGAGAGTATTCGATATGCCAGACACAGTAACAACCAAGTCTCCAATGGAGACGTTACTGGGCCCGCTCGAGCAAATCGACGATCAACGGGAGGGCCTTTACCTTTACCTTTACCTTTATCCTTGTATATTAAAAATAATAGCAGTAATTGAAAGTGATTATAATTAAAGAAATAATAAAATTATATATGTGTATATGATCATATATAAGAATATTATGGAACCACACACCGAGAGAAAAGAGTCATAAAGTGTAAATCACTCACTGCATGATTATCACAGCTTTTCACTATTCAGGACATGAAAATAGAATTTAGAGCTTCCTGTTTCAGTCATAATATAAAATGACACATTCAAATTAGTAGATTCTACTCAAAATGATGAAGCTTAAAATATCAAACTATTGCTGCTCTCACTGCTTTTACTGATGCTCCTGAATCACACGTACCACTGAGTACTCACATGAGTGAAGCTCTATAAAAATCACTTTAAAATATGATCTCCTATCATTATTATAACAGACCTCTATCTACAGAGAGATAACAAAAATGATAAATCTAAGATGAACTGGATAGCGTGTGCCACATTAATTGCATTGGATGATGTTTCTCTGAGGCGGTTGTCTTCACATTCCCAGTCAGTGCTCAGAATACCCCTTCTGGTGAGATCCAGCTGAACATGTGGGTGGGTAGGTGATGCACTCCTGCTCACGAAGAAGCACTGTGGGGTCAACAAGGACACTTGAGACCATGCAGAGAAGGGGATGGAACCTGGGGCCTCCAATGGCAGGCAGATGCTCCAATCCTTTTAGTTCCTCTCCATGCCCCATTGTTTCCTTTTCTATCCCCCAAAATGATCTTATGAAGAGACATCTTTTCATTTCGCCAAGACATATAATTTGTCCTGTATGTCAGAAAAGTTAGTGGATGAGCTATCATGTGTATGTGTGCTACCAGATCCATCATATGATAATAATATACATGTGAAACAATACTGGTTACTGCCATTGACTCATTCCTTATCTTGGTTGATGGAGAAGCCCTAGCTAGTAGTAACTAGAAATTTTTCTCTTGTTTTATTTTTTGTTGTTGTTGTTAGTTACAAATCAAATTTTGAATCCAAGTGTCTGCTTTGCCAAGACTAATTTAGGGACCAAGTCCATCATTTTGCAAGCCAGAATTTTGCTCTCTCAACTTTTCTGTTTAAGAGTTATTTCTATTTAAGAGTTATTTTGACACTGGTGGAGGGATTGGTGCTCAATCATTGTATAACTGAAACCCAAGCATGAAAGTCTGTAAGTCTACCACTGTACCTCATGATGTTTTATTAATAAAAAAATAGAAAAAAATTATTTTGAGTTTTAAACGTGAGAATGAAAGGTCAAGTGTGAGAATGAAAGGTCAAAGCCACCACCATGCTGAGACCACTCTCCGCACACCTGAAGGTACTGGCAGAGGGACAAAGCCACGCGGGTTCCGGGGCCGAGACCTCCAAGCCTACTCGATTTGGAGTCGAGCATCTTCCACCCAGATCCTCCAAATTCCAGTAGGCGGGGGTCACACCCACCACCTGGCCCCCTGGCGCCGTGTAATCCCATCAGCGGCCAAGACTCAGAGACTATAAAATCCAGATCCCGGACGAGAAAAGTGCAGTCTCTGCCCCCGCGCCTGGGTGTTCCTTCCCGGAGTCCCTTGGAGGGGAGCGGGTTGAGCTTTCCTCCCGGCCCCGACCAGGGCTACGGCAGCCGAAGACCTCCAGGACCAGCCACCACCATGCTGAGACCACTCTCCGCACACCTGAAGGTACTGGCAGAGGGACAAAGCCACGCGGGTTCCGGGGCCGAGACCTCCAAGCCTACTCGATTTGGAGTCGAGCATCTTCCACCCAGATCCTCCAAATTCCAGTAGGCGGGGGTCACACCCACCACCTGGCTCCCTGGCGCCGTGTAATCCCATCAGCGGCCAAGACTCAGAGACTATAAAATCCAGATCCCGGACGAGAAAAGTGCAGTCTCTGCCCCCGCGCCTGGGTGTTCCTTCCCGGAGTCCCTTGGAGGGGAGCGGGTTGAGCTTTCCTCCCGGCCCCGACCAGGGCTACGGCAGCCGAAGACCTCCAGGACCAGCCACCACCATGCTGAGACCACTCTCCGCACACCTGAAGGTACTGGCAGAGGGACAAAGCCACGCGGGTTCCGGGGCCGAGACCTCCAAGCCTACTCGATTTGGAGTCGAGCATCTTCCACCCAGATCCTCCAAATTCCAGTAGGCGGGGGTCACACCCACCACCTGGCCCCCTGGCGCCGTGTAATCCCATCAGCGGCCAAGACTCAGAGACTATAAAATCCAGATCCCGGACGAGAAAAGTGCAGTCTCTGCCCCCGCGCCTGGGTGTTCCTTCCCGGAGTCCCTTGGAGGGGAGCGGGTTGAGCTTTCCTCCCCGCCCCGACCAGGGCTACGGCAGCCGAAGACCTCCAGGACCAGCCACCACCATGCTGAGACCACTCTCCGCACACCTGAAGGTACTGGCAGAGGGACAAAGCCACGCGGGTTCCGGGGCCAAGACCTCCAAGCCTACTCGATTTGGAGTCGAGCATCTTCCACCCAGATCCTCCAAATTCCAGTAGGCGGGGGTCACACCCACCACCTGGCCCCCTGGCGCTGTGTAATCCCATCAGCGGCCAAGACTCAGAGACTATAAAATTCAGATTCCGGAACCGCGCGGCCGCATTTGCGGCCGCGCGACATCTTATTATCTCATTCCTACTTTGGACAAACTTGCAGGCTATCGAATGTAGCCTGCCCACAGGGCAGAGTCTGGCAAACTCCCCGTGGCCTACCAAATATGCCAAATACCAGTAACAATGATGGGTCTCATTCTCCTAAAGAGCCGTGAATATAATCTCAGGGCTAGGATGAAAGAGACGTTACTGGGGCCTGCTCGAGGCAATCGACGATTAACAGGATGATGAAATGAAAAAAAAAAAAACTTTTCTGTTTAAGAGTTATTTCTATTTAAGAGTTATTTTGACACTGGTGGAGGGATTGGTGCTCAATCATTGTATAACTGAAACCCAAGCATGAAAGTCTGTAAGTCTACCACTGTACCTCATGATGTTTTATTAATAAAAAAATAGAAAAAAATTATTTTGAGTTTTAAACGTGAGAATGAAAGGTCAAGTGTGTAGCTCAATGGTAGAGTGCCTTGCGTATGTGAAGATCTGGTTTTAATCCTTTGTGCTGCCAAAAAAAAATTAAAAATGGAAAAGGAATTGAGTTAGCATATTAACAGGCATACATTTGGAGCACTACCAAGTAACTTTATTAGAATTAGCTTTATCAGAAGTGAAATGTTATTTTGGTCTTATCTGCAACGTCTTACTTTTTCTCCTTAGGTTTAACGTTTAGGTGCTGAGGGAAGGGTGTAATTCAGTGGGCTTCCAGTCCAAACAACAAAGGTAAGACAAGTAACTGTCACTGCCACTGTCACTGTCCTCCCGTTGTTCATTGATTTGCTCGAGCGGGCCCAGTAACGTCTCCATTGTGACATTTGTTACTGTGTTTGTCACATTGAATATGTCATGGGTAGCTTGCCAGGCTGTGCCATGCGGGCAAGATACTCTTGGTAGCTTGCTGGGCTCTCCAAGAGGGGCGGAAGAATCGAACTCAGGTCGGCTAACTGGCTATGTGCAAGGCAAAAACCCTATCTGCTGTGCTATCACTCCAGCCAGGAAGTAATAATAAGAAACACACCAGGAAAAATGGAAGAGGTCAAGAGCATTGTAAAGAAAAGCAGAATCAGGATGAGATTTATCGTGCCTGCTTATTTAATTATATATTTTATTATTTATATTCTATATACACATATAATTATATCTAATTATGTATATAATATGGACATTATGATATATAGTTTGTATAATTAATAAGTAGTGTGCTATTTTAGTAATTATAGTTGCATCTACTTATATGTGATACAATTTTATATATGTGTAGATATTTATGAAATATTTACAACACTGTAGCACTATAGCACCGTGCTCTCATTTTTCATCAATTTGCTTCAGCGGGCACCAGTAACGTCTCCATTATGAGACTTGTTACTGTTTTTGGCATGACGAATATGCCACGGGGAGCTTGCCAGGCTCTTTCGTGTGGGCAGGATACTCTCGGTAGCTTGCTGGCTCTCCAAGAGGAGCGGAGGAATCAAACCTGGGTCGACCGCATGCAAGGCAAACACTCCATCTGCTATGCTATCGCTCCAGCCCATTTACAACTCTGTGATAAATAATTTAGTCAACTAGTTTAGTTTTCAATAGTTACATATACAAATGTGTTGTTATTAAGAGAAATAATAAGGAAGGTTCAGACAGGAAACCAAAGTACCATTCTAAGTCAGGTGCATAAGAGATAGCAGATATCAAAAGGAATCGTAAGACCCAACACATTAGAGTGTCCCGTGGCAGCAGCGTGGCCTTGGAGATCCTGTCGGCACAAAGTGAAAGAACCATGAGCAGAAGGTTCCATAGGACTCACCCTATCAGAGGGTGCCTGGAGAGTTCTCCTTTATGATGCTTTCACACAGAGTAACCCAGATTCCTCTCACACAGCCTCTCGGCAGCACCTTTGAGTCGTTAAGATGCCTATGTCTTCTCTTCCCACAGCTATTTTATCTCATATGAAGATTATTACGAATGTGCCACCTCCTTCACTTCGCAGTATACCTCGTGAGTAGTGGATGCGTGGAGGGTCTCTCACTGTTTTCACTGATACTCAATTCAAATAAGAGAAATGGGCATTAAAGGGCCGCTAGGCTGCTAGGGGCAGTAGGAATCTTACTGATATTGTAAGTAATGAAAAGAAGATAAATGTGTAAATCCTGCTTTGTCTACTTGACATTATTTCAGTTCTGTCAGTAGCAAATAGTTTACTTTTACAATTTAGGATCTTTGAGAACTCACAGCACTTCAAATAACTGGAATACCTTTACAAATAAAGGAAACAAAGTCTCATAGAGGTTATGTACCTTAATCCGGCCCTTTATTTTTGATAGGTATTCAACTTTAAAGGGAAAATTTTCATTATTCAGTTCTGAAATTTACTATGATTTTATTTTTCTTGTGTAGTCTTTGATTTGTAATAGCAGGAATTCTATAGTTAAATATTTTGTAGTTTATACAACAAAAAGTTGTTTTCCATTGTATAGAGTCTAGTCCCAGAAATTTTCTTTAGACTTCTTTCCATATCTAGTAAATGCATAGAATTATTTTTAATCCACAATAACTGATATATAATATGTAATTATCCTACTAATTATCAAGATTTAAATACATTTTTGATAATAAAAGTAATAACCATGACCCTTTCCAGCTTAAATAAATCCTGACTTATTATTTTTATATAAATTGTATAATATTAATTCTATTATATAATATATATACACATTCACAATCACAATCACAAATCATCCTGTTATTCGTCGATTGCCTCGAGCAGACCCCAGTAACGTCTCCTTCATCCTAGCCCTGAGATTATATTCAAGGCTCTTTAGGAGAATGAGACCCATCATTGTTACTGGTGTTTGGCATATTGGGTATGCCACGGGGAGTTTGCCAGACTCTGCCGTGTGGACAGGCTACATTCAGTAACCTGCCAGTTTGTCCAAAGTAGGAATGAGATAATAAGATGTTATAAAAAGATGTTGCGCGGCTGGTTTTTATAGTCTCTGAGTCTTGGCCGTTGATGGGATTACACGGCACCAGGGGGCCAGTTGGTGGGTGTGACCCCTGCCTACTGGAATTTGGAGGATCTGGGTGGAGGATGCTTGGCCCAAATCCGAGTAGGCTTGGAGATCTCGGCCCCAGAACCCTTGTGACTTTGTCCCTCTGCCAGTACCTTCATGTGTGCGGAGAGCGGTCTCAGCATGGTGGTGGCTGGTCCTGGAGGTCTTTGGCTGCCGGAGCCCTGGTCAGGGCAGGGAGGAAAGCTCAACCTGCTCCCCTCCAAGGGGTCCTGGCGAGGACAGCCAGGCGCGGGGGCAGGAGACTGCACTGTTCTCTTCTGGGTGCTGGTTTTTATAGTCTCTGATTCTTGGCCGTTGATGGGATTCAAAAAGGACATTGCTGAGGTTCATAGAGTCCACCGGGGAGCAACACTGCCATCCCCAATAAACTTCTTCTATTTCCTTCACTTTACTGTCTCTATCTGTGTCAGGTGAGATTATGGACCTACCACTTTCCTGTCTCTTTACAAAAAAAAAGTTTTAAAAAGTAGAGGAACAGGGGCTGGAGCAATAGTACAAGTGGCTAGGACATTTGCCTTGCACACATCTTACCCAGGTTTGATTCCCACACCCCATAAGTTCCCCCACCCACACACCCCAAGCCTGCTAGGAGTGATTCTTGAGCGCAAAGCCAGGGGTAAGCTCTAAGCACCACCAGGACCCAAAAACATAAACAAACAAACAAACAAATCAAAAATAGATTAATTGTAAGTCTTAACTTACAGGGCACAGCTCTACCCCAGCTTTACCTGAGGTAAAGAACTGGGTCTATCTAGATATGTTTTGGGGAGATTGACCCAATCTCCCCAAATTGACCCAACTTCATCTATGTCAGAGAAAAGAACTCACTCAGGAGAACAAAGAATGATAGTGACAGAAGTTCGATTAAGTAAGGAAAGTAAGTACTGCAGACAGAGAGACAAGGGGACCCTGTAATGTACATTGGAAGAAAAACATTATTTGGATCCTAAACTAACCCAAAGGAATCAAAAAGCCTTTGAGACATAGGACCTAACTAAGAAGCCAGGAAAACTACCTGGCCACCAGGTATGACCTAAAAAGCAAAACAACAACAACAACAAATGGAAGGAAAGAAGCAAGGAAGGAGGGAAAGAATGGGAGGAGGGAGAAAAGGAGGGAGGAAGGAAAGGATAAAGGGAGAAAGGAAGGAAGGGAGGGAGAAAGGGGAGGAAGGAACGAAGGAAAGAAGGAAGGAAGGAAGGAAGGAAGGAAGGAAGGAAGGAAGGAAGGAAGGAAGGAAGGGTAAAAAACCTCTGGAGGGGCGGCCAGGGAGTGGCCCCGATGGCTCTTCCCCTGGCTAACCCAGGTTCTGGGGCTGGAGCAATAGCACAGTGGGTAGGGCGTTTGCCTTGCATGCAGCCAACATGGCGATATAGGTTCGATTCCCAGCATCCCATATGGTCCCCCGAGCACCGCCAGGAGTGATTCCTGAGTGCATGAGCCAGGAGTAACCCCTGAGCATTGCCGGGTGTGACCCAAAAAGCTAAGCCTTCCTGATGGACATATACACATTAATTGTATATATAATATAATATAATATAAATACACATAGTTTCATTAATTATAATACTTCAGGGATAAAGGTACCAAAGCCATTTGGTATCCTTGCTTCCCTGTCTCTCACTGGCACAAAGGTACCACAAAGTCCTTATTTTATGCAAATTAAAAAAATTTGGAGGGGACTGGGTCACATCCATTTGTATCCAGGGACTATTCCTGATCCTCTGGAGTGATCTCTGGCAACTATAATGTGAACTGGAAGGTACATGGAAGACAAATGTATTTTTCGGCTTTTTCCCCCCATATAGGCCACACCTGGTAGTGCTCAGTGCTTATTCCTGGTGATGTGCTCAAAGATCACTTATGATCATGCTTAGGGGGTACTATGTGCTTTGCCTGGGATCAAACTCTAATCATCCAAATCCAACTCATGTTCCCTAACCTCTGTGTCATCTTGGTGGCTCCCAAAGCAAGCATCTTACCTCTGTACTATCTCTCCTAATTTTAAACCAAAGTCCTAATTTTATTTTATTTTATTTTTATTTTTTAAATTTTTATTAGTGAGACACCATGAGGTACAGTTGTAGACTTACAGATTTTGTGCTTGGGTTTCAATTATACAATGATCAAATACCCATCCCTCCACCAGTGCCCATTTCCCACCACCACGGATCCCAGTATCCCTCCAACCCCCCATCCCACCCATACCACCCTGCCTCTGTGGCAGGGCATTCCCTTTTGTTCTCTCACTCCTTTTGGGTGTTGTGGTTTTCAAAGGAGGCATTGAGTGGCAATCATGTTTGGTCTATTGTCTACTTTCAGCATTCTTCTCCCATCCTGGGAGGATCCTCCCAACACCCTTTATTTGGTGCTCCCTTCTCTATCTGAGCTGCCTTTTCCCCTAGCATGTGTGGTTGGCCTCCAAGTCATGTATCAAGTTTTTTTTATTTTTATTTTTATTTTCATAGTTTTATTTATTTATTTTTCATCTTATATTTATTTATAGAATCACTGTGGGAAAAGTTACTAAGCTTTCAGGTTTAAGTCTCAGTAATACAATGATCAAACACCTCTCCCTTCACCAGTACTCATTTTTCCCCACCAAGAACTCCAATATACCCCCCTCCTACCCCTCCCAATGCCTATGAGGCAGATGATTTCCACTTAACTCTTCTCTACATTGATAACACTCATCATTTCGACAAAAGATGCACTATTATTGTTTAGAATTTCCCCCCGCAACAATCAGAATCGCTGAAAAGGCATTGCAAAATATTTTGTTTTCTATAGCTGGTCATGAGAATCATAAAATGTTGCATGGCCCCTATTGCAGCCATGCAATTTTGGATTTCTGCAAAGAGCCAGATAATCATGAGATTGGTTTCTGTGCATCTGGTGTTATGGCTGTGCTGGAGAGCCGCTCATGGGAGGCAAATCAGGACCTCGGTAGGGTGTGAAGGACAAGCCGGTACCACCCATTTCCCATGATACTGCAGTTGCCCCGTCACCGCTGGCTCATACCTGGCTGTCCTATAAGCTCTGAGGTGGCGATCACCTTGCTGCCGGGGGTGGGGGGGGACAGAATGTCCTAATTTTAAACCAAATTAATTCCTAGTTAGGTGCTTTTGTTTTATTATTGAGTAAAGTTATTGGATGTACAAATTTTGCATTTATATGCAAGTAGATTTGAAAGAAAATAATTTCCACACTACAAATTTAATTGTGTAAGAAAACAAACAAATGCACAAATCACCTTAATTTTAATGTAGCTGCCTGGGAAGCTGATATGTGAAAGTTAAAAAATTAAGTTCATTTAGAATCAATGGGATTAGTTACCTACTACTCTCTGTGGGGTCTTCAAAGGACACTTCTCTGAAGTGATTAAAGGATAAAAAATTCAGCAACAATTTGTATCTCAAATTGAATAGAGCTTAATGGAAAGTAATGAAGTTCTTGATTTTTCCCTTTAGAGGCTCTGACTTGATGCTCGATGTCTGTGACTTCTCTTTGGGGATGTGTCCTGTTTGCTTAATAATGATGGCATTGTGCTAACTCTACCAAGTAGACAATTTCTCACTGCAAACTCTGCAGAAACAATGATCTTATGAAAGCATAGGCAAATTATATAAGGGAAACATAAATATAAATAATTTAAAATGCAATAAACACAAACAGGAGGTTTAGATAGGAACATAAATAAAAAAATAACCAAAGCGGCAAAAGGGCCTGTGGGATAGTACAAAAATTAAGGCACCGGGGCTGGGGTGATAGCACAGCAGGTAGGGTGTTTGCATTACGCAGCCAACCTGGGTTCTATTCCCAGCATCCCATATGGTCCCCCGAGCACCGCCAGGAGTAATTCCTGAGTACAAAGCCAGGAGTAACCCCCGAGCATCACCAGGTATGACCCAAAAAGAAAAAAAA